CTTTTTTTCTTCTTCTTCTTCTTTTTTTTTTTATTTTATTTTAACTCTTCACAAGTGATGTTCACGCATACGGATCGAAAAATTGGTTTTTCGGAAAATAGGTGGAAATTCGAATTGCGCGGCTCTGTTTTCTGTGGCTTTTTATTCTATGGTCTAAAGTAACAGTTTTGTTTACTCTTTGTATTGTTTGTTGTGGAAATATCGATTTACGACGATGTCGTTCTCGTACGTAATTTAGAAAAAAAAAAAAAAAAAATAAAATAAAATAAATGAAAAATAAAAAAAAATTCTCTTTAGATTTCTCTCGTGGATTCACCTTCTATTTGTCCGAATATAATATTTATCAGATTTTTGATACAACAATTTTTATAAGAGATATTTTCTGAAATATTTCTGAAACCTCTCTCTCCTCTCTCTTTCTCTGTGTTTTATCGAAACACGGATCTAACGGAATAAAACGGACAAATGGATATACAGAATTGCTCTTACAACGATTAAAAAAAAATAAATAAATAAATAAAAGAAATATAAAAGAGGGATTGAAAAAATGTAGGTAAATATTTTCCACTGGAAAAAATTGCAACTCAATTCCTGCCATGAATCCATCCCTTAATTTTTTTGAATGTATTTTCATGATATTAATTTAATAATATTTATTTATTCTTGTCAATTTCCGCGATAAATATCAGAGAAGCTTTTAAAATACTTATTTACACTATAAAATATTTTAAAACGATACTTTTCGTAGAAAGAAGCAACTTCGTAAGATTTTTCACGAATGTGTTTTCCGCGTTTGAAAATGATCGATCCGTTTTCTCGAACCCTCGACCACAGGTCTACCGTCCCTCGTTCTCACCCCATGGCAACTGGCATCTCCTTTTCACGAGCACTTTTATCTAACCCCCTTGACTCTTCTTTTTCCTCTTCATTTCTTTCAACTCGTTTCATCCCCGACCCCGCGGTTCCAGTGGTTGCCAGGCGGAAACCTCGTTGATACACACCCGGTTCCGGCTCCCTGTCGGGTCGGGATCAATTTTACTACGGCTCGAAAAATTTCTCCATTACGAAAAGTAAAATATCCGACAACTTGAACTTGATTAAAAATTTTAATTTTCCACGTGCACGGTTTTTTTCGCGCACGATTTTCTTGAATATTGCTCGAAAAAAATGGAAATATTTCATCGAAAGTCGATGAAACTTTGAACTTTTTTTTCTTTTTAGTACGAAATTATACGTTTTATTATTCTTTTCTTTTTTTTTTAATAAGGAGTAATAATCGTCGTATATTTTAGAAATTTATGAATTGGAACGGTAATATTGCGCTAATAAATTCGAAGATTTAAAGACGTGGATTCCGGAAGCGACAATTCAAGCTTATAGGATTCGCCGGTGATAATTTCGCGAATACAAGACTAGGTGGCGATAACTCTAGGATCACGGAACATGGTAATGACACTCGTGGGGTCGTACAAATGGATAATGCTAATTTTCACAGCTTAACACTGCCAATTATATTAAGGCGCCAAGATTTAATACCAACTATTCCATACATATATATTTAAAGAAAGTTTTATACATCGTTTCAAAATAATTTCAAAATCCTCCTCTTATTCCAATATTGTCTGTTAATATAAATTTAATATTGGAGACAAAAATTGCTACGAAATGTATCGCGACTCGAGTTCGCGAAGGATAAAGACGCAAATCTTTCTTCTATTGCTTAAATTTTATAACTCTGGTAAAGAGTTTAAAACTATATACCAAGGATTTACGATTATCGAATTCGAACAGTTCGAGCGTTTATCCTTTACAAGAAGAACAGCGTTTATCTTTATCTTTACATGGCTTAAGCCATATAAAAACGGACGTGAATTGATCGATCGGTCGCATCTGCGATGCGATTAAATCTTGATGAATATATCGAGTCGAATCGCGTAAAAGCAGAGGTGGCTGAGATCCGTCGACGAGTTAATCCTCGCGTACGCTTGTACTTGTTTTGCATCCAACCGATTTGGAAAAATCATTCCTGTCATACATCGATCGCTTCTTTATTTCAATATCTCTTTTCATTCGTTTTACAGATACTCGAATGCGTTATATGGACACGGAGGGGAGTATGCACGATGGAATGATGGGGAATAACAATTGGGTGCTCGGTGATCTGAGAAGCCTTCATCGTTGCGTGCCAACCTTTCGTCGTCCAGGTGAATATTTCTTCGATAAAAGGAATTTAATTCTAACGAATCGATCCGTGGCTAAATAAATATCCGATATATTTCAATGTGAAAAATGAAAAGTACGGAAGGATAAGATGGCTAATCTTGTTCCCCTCAGGCATAGAGGTGGGCGGTATGCGAACGCATTTCTATCCAGAGGGTGGTTGGGGGTGGTTGGTCTGCGCAGCTGGGTTCCTCGCCCTGTTGCTCACTACAGGAATGCAGCTCGCTTTCGGCCTTCTTCACGTTCACGCCGTGAGACGATTCGGCGAGGAACATCTCATGGATCTTGGTATGTTTTCCTACACGTTTTTACACGCTCTCCCCATATTTTCTCCTCTCCTCTACGATAATACATTCCTCTCTCGCGAGAGGAATATATTCGTACGTAATTTTCTTGATCGACGAAATCATTCGGAGAATATTAGCGATATATTTTGAATTCCTTTGCCATATCGGTAGATTTTCTTAAATATTCGACGAAAATATTCGACGAAAATTCCGAATATTTTCTCTTTACTTTAATTTTATCTTAATGATATTTCGAATAAGAATGCTTCTTCTGATCGGACGTCTCTCGTCGAGATCGTAAGGAAAAGGTTTAATTATCACGTAAGGAATCACGTAAAATCGTATTTAAAAAAAAGAAAGAAAGTCTATTTTACGATATAACAATAACTCGTTGAGTTTGCGTTAAAATAAGAGACGAGAGAAATGCGTTCAACGACGCTTGAATACTTTTCGAATATTTTCCTCTTTTTCGACGGCCGAAAAGAAATAAGTCTAATTAGCGCTAAAAGAATCTCCTCAAACTCTTTCATTCC